TGTGTTAAACATATTGTACCCATGTGGGGAATGAGACACGGGTCTTGGCGTTGTATATTTATATTTTTGCAAACATCTTGGAAATCATCTTCAGCTACATGTACTGGCTAGCTGAACAGTTATCTCCATATTTTAGCCCGTATTTCCAAATTTATTCAATTACGTTCATTGAATTAATGAAACAAAATTAATCATGATATTTAATTAGCTATTCACCGATGTGTCCTGCCCGTTTACTGTCGCCCGATCATGTTTTATATAGCGGGCGGAGTGAAACATGGAAGTATAAATAGATTTTTCTCACAACTAACTGTAACAGTTATCACCATTCTGAATTTCTCATGCCATTCGTGAAATAATATATATTTATATCATACAGTAACCCTGAATAATTGATTGTGTGACTATTTGAGTGTTCCTTTCACAGTAGATTGATACGGAATGAAACAATTAATGACTTGTGGAATTGAATTTGCTATTTTATAGGTCATGGGATGAAGTCAAAAATTTGTTATAGGGTTCATAACATTATCATTTAAGATTTTCTCTTATGCTACTTGCCATGAAGAATTTTCTTTTGTTGTCCTGTATTGTTGTCAAATACCGTTGGAAAAATACCGAATTGCACACATATGTGATACAGATGTATTGGCGATAACTGTTACTTGTGGCGATAACTTGTCGCTAGCCAGTATATACATAATTTTCTTTCATCTTTCTGTTGATTAGCTATCTAATAGCACCTGATTAAGAACCAACTTAATTATAACCTATCCCATACACAACCATGTTAAACCCGATTGGTATGTCTAATATATGTTGTTTTAAATAGATGCAGTTTTCTTAATAATCATCGGAAAACTGAATGGAAATTATGTATGTATGTAAGCTGAGATCATTTCCCAGCTGGTTGATAAGTATTGAAAGCAATTCGACCAAAACTAAATTTATGAAAATTATCCTCCATGACCTTTATGTTCGAGATCGAAAATCATATTGCTTTCCAAATTTTGACAGAAATAGCTATTCATATGGGTATTAAATCTGTACTAAATACAATCAGCTTACAATTTCATTCATCATTTTTAATGAAACAGATTTTACATGTAACCAACAAAATACAGTGCCTTGCACTGCCTCAGTGAACGAAAACTGTAACCTAAGCTGCCGCGGTGAACTGCAGAAGTGTCCGAGAGTTGATGAAGCGCTGATTATCTTTCATTTGTCACAATACACAAATCCTCATAGTATATAACTGCAGGAACATTCAGATAACACCTACCTTGGAAAATTCTTGAAACGCAAGGTCGACAAAGCGCCAAAGGAACACGTCGGCAGCAGCATATAAATGGCCATTCGGTCATTGTGAAAAGTCGAAGCGAAGCATACCGCGACAAGCGGTATTTGAAATATTAAGAAGAAATAACCCAAATTGTACACTATTTTGTGATTGCATCTTATTTTGAAACACGAGCGACAACAATGCGTCCCGGGTTTAATCTTTTTCAATGAAAAAGGTATTGAAAAGGCAAGTAATGTGGCGCAGGAAGGTCGATCTCTCGACTGAGCTCGAAGTGCAACCGACCCGCCCGCTTTCCACGGTCCGAATTTTTCGTTTTCATCAAATAATAACATACAGTTATGTTTTGCTGACAAAACTTAGAAATAAGAACACTAAGTATAATTATCTGGTTCAGATTTAAACATATATATCCAAATAGTGCTCTTATGAGCCTTTTTGGGTCGGTCTCCCTAAAGGTGTATTTTTACATACATGTATATATATACGACTGTCGCTTCTCATCTATATGTAGCCTTTTAAAGTCACTTAAATAAGTAGTTTTAGGTTGATAATATTAAAGACAATGATGATATAAAGAATATAACCCTCAAAAATATTAAAGCAGTTCTGTGTTGCATAATGGATGATTGCTTGAAAATTAGGGAGACCCGGACTTTGGTAAGCCCCTAAGTTTGTGGTCTCCCTAATGCTGGTTTTTAAATACATTTGGTCTCCCCTAATGCTGGTGTTATATATATATATATATATATATATATATATATATATATATATATAAGGCTTGCCAGCGAATGGCCTCTGTGTTTAACAGGATGTGGGGTCGTGAAGCGCTACTCCTCCTCCTTGACGTCCCTTGTAGCTGGTGAGGCTCTAGCTCCTTCGCCAAGGAGGCTGCCTGGGACTTGCTGGTTCTGCATAAGTAGGGCCGAGTGGATCATCTTATCATTTTCAGAAGTCAGGTGAAATCTGGTGATAAGTGTCTCAATGATCGTTCTAGATCTATTTTAGGCCAACGAACATACGTCTCTCGTCATGGATTCAACTGAACCAATTCTGATTGTAGTTCTTATTGTTGATATCGATGATCAACTTGTAGTTTTCATCGATGTCTTAAGCCTTGAAGAAGGGGTCCATGTTGTGGTGGAAAACTTCTAAGCGTGAAAGTTCGGCAATTATGGTGTCTGAACTTTGTGGCTTTTATGGGATGCTATGTCTAGATTCTGTGCTACCGCGAGCAATGGGTCGATCGGAGGTAGAAGTGATAGCATCTGGCGTCGTCTTCCTTCATCAGGTATGTCTGCGCCGTACTGCCACTCTAAGAAGGTGATGTAGACTTGTGTGCAGACTTTGTGTGGTAACCTGTGAGGCGATACGATGTGGTGATGTATGCAGAGAGGAGATCGGAGACTATTGACAGCTTCGAAGCTCTTGAGTAGTCCCTTGACTCTGTTAAATGGCGATCTATATTCGGGTGTCCTTCGAGGTGCCTTAGCGAATGCCTTAGGCTGAGCGCCGCTTCACGAGCGCCAGAGCATATGCCAGCGAAGCTTCCTCTGCGTTGGTGCTGGGGAGCGGCGATTTGAGAGCGAAGGCTTCCGTGAGGTCTGGTGGCTGAGTCTGCATCTAAGGATGAAGCCCGAGGAATGTGATGATCTATCCGCCAGCGAGGGCCAGCGAAAGGCTGTACATCTGGGTCCTTCGTCAAGGTGGTCTGCGACTTCCTTCGCAGAAGGCTGCATCGTCTTGGCTGCTACGTTGACTGGAGGTGCCTCTAGAGTGTTGTCTAAGTTGGAGCCTTAGCGAAGGCTCAGTACTCTGGGCTGGCTGCTTCTCCAGTCTGTAGTGACCCTCCATCACGACCATGATTTGCCGTAGTAGCTTCGTCTGGGATGGTCTGCGGACGAAGTAGTCGGGTGCCATCTCTGCGCTTGTTAGTGGTGGGGCCCCTCAGGTAAGTCGTCTGACATCAGTGTAGAGACATCAGGCTGCATGGCGATCTCTGCTGATGTCATTGCTTAGCTATCACCCGGTGGCTACTTGTCTCATACGTCGAGGATGATGATCGGCTGATCATCGTAGAGGCCAAGTTCAGCGGCTGGAACAATCTCGGTTGAGAAAGTCCTAGTAGACTTCGTTGAATTCCCCTCAGAGGTCGGCGCTGCCCTGGGGGTGCTGCGAAGTCTGCGCGTTGAGTGTTGGTAGCGGCGGGACCCTCAGGAAGATCATCGAATGTTGATCTGCGCTGACATCACTGTTGCCGACATCAGTCATTCTTTGATGTACATCAGGAATGATGATCGGCTGATCATCATACAGGCCCAAATCTGCGATGAGAACAATCGGCTGAGAAAGTTCTAGTAGACTTCGTTGAATATACCCTCAGTGCGGCGGAAGGGATGTCTGGGGAAGCAGGACGCTTCTTGAGGCGGGCGGACTACGCCCGCCTCTCTCCACCATTCTAGCGGAAACCCAGGCGGGAGGGGGTCGACCAACAGCAGTAGACTGGCGAGGGGTTCAGGTGTATCAGTCATGCTAGACTCTGCATCGCACGTGACCTATCTGCTCGCGGCGTCTCAAGCGCAAAAGTAATTATTTATTAAAGGTAGAATTGGATAAATTAGTATCGCAACTGCAGCGTGAATCACATGAAACATGGCGCAGTACAGCTAGGGCATATTAAATCGCGGATCAGCAGCAGAATAAAAGCGTAATGTGCAACAGTACAGAATTTTTATCAACGTAATCCACTGCAACAGCACGGTCCCGTGCATAAACAGTAGAAACGCGACTAAATATCAATATATAATTGTTGAAAGATACTAGCTAAACCTCTATAGATCTCTATCACGGGGTAACTAACTAAATATAATCAAAGGATATAGTGTGTCGGAGACACAGAGCTCTCGTCCAGCTCACTGAAGTGAAGAAGGAAGAGTGAGGCACATGGGTAGAGGTGGCCCTCGTTCAGCGCTTGTGGAAGGGAGGTAACTTCGTGGTGTACTAATTAGTGATTTTACATTGAAGGAACTTCAATTAGGGGAGATACAAGTGTTCCACTATGTTCGCAAGAGGAAGGAGACAAGCAAAAGAGCATGAGTCAGGATAAGGAAAAATAACTCACCATTATAATAAACTCACATTATAATAAACTCACCATTATAATAAACTCACCATTATAATGAACCAGTTATTAACAACTGTCAGTTCAAACAAGGTCACTGAAAGATAATTGAAACAAATTCTTTGACATGCGGCAAATATGAGATACACGTTTCAATTCAAAATGCAACAAATTAAAGCCATTATCAAATGCTCCTTGCAGTACTTGATACAATTTGTCTCTATCAACTAAACAGGGAGTTGAAAAGTGCCTCTTGAACAGAATTTTAGTTATATCACTGCACACATGCAACAAAAACCATAAAAAACCATGGATTTGCAGCTTTGAAGATACAATTTTTGCAAGATAAATAATTAAGGCAAATCTTCACGTAGATTCAACAGAACCCGATGGGGTTCTGACCTCCCGATCCAGTCATCTCCTGCATCCATAGGGTAACTGGGTGTTGTTAGGTCACGCAGGAGTCAGGCCAATGTCTACAGGTACTATTCAGGCAGTTGTCTCACCTCCAGATCTGAGAATGTTGTCAAAGTTGTTTAAGTAGTAGCCCTGCTGGTTCTTGGTGTCAAAGCGGTAGTGTCGGCCATACTGGAGTTCCTGGAACAACCAACATGAGGTGAGTGGGGAGAACACCAGTCAGTGCTCCAGAAGACATTGCATGACATATAACTGGCTGACCAGACAACTGTTGGGGTTTTATTGTGTTGCTCTTGTTACCATGCCAACAAGTGAATTATAATACAAACATTAACAAACTTATTGTGCAGACCATCTGTTTCTTAAGAGTTAACATTGAAAGTCCCCAGCCACATTTAATTCCTGCTGCAGAAAATAAAAAAAATCCTAGTTCGATTAGGACAATATGTCTACCGATGATCAGTGATGAAGTTTCAGCCATTAGGTGGGTGATGGTGGTTAGAGGAAGAAAGCGCTTTGATGTGCATCTGAGCAAGATCAAACAAATAACTGAAGTGAATCTGATTCTGTAATCATTGTGATTTTCAGTTTAGATCTGGCAGTGTGGGATCAAGGATGCCAAGGGAAATAACTCTGCATATCAACACACAAGACTACCACAGGAACAGCTGTGCATTCTGATGAAGATAAAACACAAAACACCAGGCGAGATTGATGGAACAACAGCCAACTTACTTGCAACAGTTCCTCAGGTCGACATTGAGAAACATTTCCATTCCAATGACAGCGAAGAAATAATAGACCATGATGATCACCACGGCCAAACTGTAACAGCAACATTCATGTATCTCTACAATGCTCTACAGACATAATGACAGGAACCTTTCATTGGTTGGATGCTGTTTAAGGCTAAACTCAGCATTTTCCCACTACATAACAGTGGTTTGTAAATAACTGAGTCTAGAGCAGTGATTGACATAATGAGCATCGATCCAAATGATTGGGACATCATGATAGCCATTCAACCAGGACCCCGTTTCACAAAGCTCTCGTAAGCCTAAGATCTCGTAACTTTTCTCATAGTATTTGTACCTCCTATGTTACAGTATAGGAGGCACGAATGCTACGAGAAAAGTAACGAGATCTTAGGCTTACGAGAGCTTTGTGAAACGGGCCGATGATCAGCAGGCCTGACCCTCAGATCCTTTTAGTTGTCCCTTATAACCTAGAATCCTCACAGGTAACCAGAACAACAAAATGAAGGTGAATTGAAATGGGTTATACATCGTACTTGAGAATATTTCGCTCAGATGACAACGTACATGCGTGTGAATGTATGGCTGCTTGTACTAGCCCAGACTGAAGCTGGTTTTATAGTGCTAGCCCACTGACATACCATGCCGCAGTGAAGCATGAATACCCCACTCAGACACATTATACTGACTCCGAGCCGACCAGTCCTTGCTGTACCCATTAATGCCGAGAGCCAGGCAGGGACCAACAAGTACCATATTTTAACGTCTTTTGGTATGGTCCTGCCAGGGATCGAACCCATGAACAAAATTAAGAAGGCAATTGGGATATAATGACATGTACCCACACATCTAGGATACTGCTTAATAAATAGCCAGCAACAGCTCATTGTTGCCAGCTCTGATCATCTCTAATGCACTGGTCTGTCCGTTCTAGAGTATTTATAAGCCAATGTCATACATCTAAATGTGGTTTCAACAACAATATAACAATGACTAACTGACTGAGTTTGGTTTTACGCCGCTTTTAGCAATATTCCAGCAACATCACGGCAGGGGACACCAGAAATGGGCTTCACACATTGTACCCATGTGGGGATTAACAATGAACATACGTTTATATTACCAGTCCACATTTGACAGTGATATTACATTTTATCAATAATCATAGGAAAAGTCTCATCATAACCACGCCTACCAAAGAAAACTTTCCCACTGAGCAGAAAAACGAAGAAAATCCCACATGAATTGTGGAAATGGCATCATAAACACAATGCTACAAGAAACTGAAACAGTAAAAGCGTATGAAGACTAAGAAACTGCAGCATTTTCATATCAGCGAACTTTGGCTTCTACTGAGCATGCGCGCATACGATCAGCGCTTCTTTCAATTTCGACGGCAGTAAATTGAATTGCCTCCGTGAAAAAAGTATTAAATATGTCAAATAATTGCTGTCAATCATTTCATACGAATTGAAAGTAAACTAAACAAGTGTGCACATAAGCATCATAATGATAAATGCCAAATAACACAACAGAAATACTTTAAAAGGAATGTAACGTTTGTCCAAGCTGGAAAATGTCGACATGCGGTCGAGACTTCCTCTTCCATGTGTGCATGCGCAAAATCGAAGTTGCAGGCTTTTCGTTTTTTTATCCAGTTTTAGCGATTTAAAGTCACCGTTTTTACTGTTTCAGTAGCAAGGTATTATGTTTATGTTGCTGTTTCAATGATTAATGTGCGCGTTTCTGCACACTGGCAAAGTTTTCTTTGGTAGGCCTGATAACTACATAAGTATTTCAACAACATGAAAGTAGCCTGACCTGGTCAGTCGTGAGAACAGCACAAACAGTGTGCCCAGCACATCTCTGTAGCGTCTCTTGATCTTAAATAACCTGAGGAGAGGAACAAACAGCTGATAATACACCGATCATTTAGCGTGCACCACAATTAAACAAATTCTAGCAGAACTTCTGCATATTTTTGACATTACAACTGAAGTGAGGTGAGGTGAAATTAGGTTTTACGTCGTGCTTGAGAATATTTCGCTCATATGATGACGTGCATGCGTTGTATGTGCAGCTGCTTGTACTAGCCCAGACTGAAGCTGGTTTTATAGTGCTAGCCCACTGAGATACCATGCCGCAGTGAAGCATGAATACCCCACTCAGACACATTATACTGACTCCGAGCAGACCAGTCCTTGTTGTGTGATGTATTTGGAGCTACGTGTGTGATGTATGTGGAGCCATGTGAGTGATGTACATGGAGCCATGTGTGTGATGTATGTGGAGCCATGTGTGTGATGTATGTGATGTATGTGGAGTCACATGTGTGATGTATGTGGAGCCATGTGTGTGATGTATGTGGAGCCACATGTGTGATGTATGTGGAGCCCATGTGTGATGTATACCATGTGTGTGATGTATGTGGAGCCACATGTGTGATGTATGTGGAGCCACATGTGATGTATGTGGAGCCTTACGTAGTAGCCCGATTATGTGACCGTGTGTGTGATGTATGTGGAGTCAAATTATTGTGATGTATGTGGAGCCACGTGATGTATGTGGAGCCCTGTATTGTGATGTATGTGTGGAGCCATGTGTATTGTGATGTATGTGGAGTCATGGTGCAATGTAATGTGGAGCCACATGTTGTGTGATGTAATAATGGAGCCATGTGTGTGATGTATGTGGAGCCATGTGTGTGATGTATGTGGGGCCATGTGTGTGATGTATGTGGAACCACATGTGTGATGTGTAATGAAATGTGTAGTATTATGTGTGTGATGTATGTGGAGCCATGTATTGTGATGTATGTGGGAGCCATGTCTGTGTGATGTAATGTGGAGCCACATGTGTGATGTAATATGTGGAGACCCTGTATTGTGATGTATGTGGAGCCATGTGTGTGATGTATGTGGAACCAGTATGTGTGATGTATGTGGAGCCACTTGTGTGATGTATGTGGAGCCACATGTGTGTGATGTATGTGGAGCCATGTGTGTGTGATGTATGTGGGGGCCGTGTGTGATGTATATGTGGAGCCATGTGTATGTGATGTATGTGGAGCCATGTGTGTGATGTATGTGGGGCCATGTGTGTGATGTATGTGGAGCCATGTGTGTGATGTATGTGGAGCCACATGTGTGATGTATGTGGAGTCACATGTGTGATGTATGTGGAGCCATTATGGGAGCCATGTATGTGTAGATGTATTGTGGTGTATAGCGGGAGTGTGTGTACGATGTATGATGTATGTGGAGCCACATGTGTGTATGTGGAGACCACATGTGTGATGTATGTATGGAGCCATGTGGCCATGGTAGCATGTGTGTGATGTATGTGGAGCCACATGTGTGATGTATGTGGAGCCATGTGTGTGATGTATGTGGAGCCATGTGTGTGATGTATGTGGAGCCGTGTGTGATGTATAGACCATGTAGTGTGATGTATGTGGAGCCATGTGTGTGATGTATGTGTATGTGGAATTTACATGTGTGATGTATGTGGAGCATATGTGTGATGTATGTGGAGCCATGTGTGCGTGATATAATGTATGTGGAGCCAAGTGTGTGATGTATGTGGAGCCATGTGTGTGATGTATGTGGAGCCCGTGTGTGATGTATGTGGAAGTGCGTGTGTGATGTATGTGGAGCCATGTGTGCTTGATGTATGTGGAGTCCGGTGTGTGTGATGTATGTGGAGCCATGTGTGTGTGATGTATGTGGAGCCGCGTGTGTGATGTATGTGGAGTCCGCGTGTGTGATGTACATGGAGTCTATGTGTTTGATATATTGGAGCCATGTTTGTGATGTTTGTAGAGCCCGCGTGTGCGATGATGTATGTGGAGCCGTGTGTGATGTATAATAATGAACCACATGTGGCGTGTATGTGGGGCCATGTGTTGCTTCTAAAGAAGTTTGTGTACCTAGGCAGTCTGAAAGGGCCAGTCACGATGATGTAAAGTAGAAGCTGTGAGTCAGGGGTCAAAGGAGCCTCCTATAACACTGATGGCGGTCTGGGAAGTCAAACCCTAGCAACACCAAGCACATATGTACATACCCATGCCGCACAGAGCCAAAAGGCGTATCATACATTGTCATGTACTAATTAAAAGACACTATACCCAGTCAGGAATTGCTGTCACAGATAAAACATCACAAAACTGATGAACTTACAGGTCCAACCTGATGTGAAATATATATAGCGGCCCCTTGCCAAGGATCTTCAAGATGGCCTCACTGAGTATACTGAAAAGAGCAGAAACCAAGAGCGCTCGCGTAGCCGCAGCTGTTGCAGAAAGTAATGCCATGAACAATTACGGTCACGGCGCGGAGAGCTAGAGCGATTTCGAGTATTTACTTGGTAACCATGGTAACACTATTTATTGGTAGTACGGTTTGATGCTTTGGTATCATACTGCGGCCAATATCTCAGCTGTAAAGAGGCAGTCTGTATGCTCAATCAAGTCCTAGTCAGACCCCAGACATGCGATGTCGGGGTATGTGTGACATAAAATCTCTGAAGTCCAGTGTGACGAGTACATCCCAGCCTCGGCAAAATACATATTGCTGACAAGCTTCTTCTACTGAGAATTAAAGCGTTTCCACAGAGGCAAAAAACAGATTCGAAGTTGATAGATATTAGTCTAATCATCCATTTACCTGCAGTAAACATGATGAACAAACCCATATCGGCTGCAATGATCCAGTGACCAAGGTGATGACGCATACCAGCCATTCTAAAGGAGTTATTTCAACAAAGGGGATCACCATGTTTATAGACCGAGGGGTTAGAGCACCCAAGACAAGTGCAGGAATACGGTACTGCTTGGAAGGAGGCAGAGATGTTTCATTTTAGATTCGTTATATTTAAGCGCAATTGCTTCACAGAGATTTGTTGAAACTACGGCTTGAATAGGTACTGACAATGGTTGTAAATACAGTACCGCCTTCCATCTGAACTTTGTCGAATCCAGCTTGCTGTGCAGTATTATGACTTTATTGGCAGCATTTACTGTAAAAAACTTTGGTGTAGATATTCACCATTAGTCTTTTACATTCATCAAAATGTCACTATGCAATGAATTCCCCGGGTTCCTTTTTTCTAGCCATCCAGAAGCATGCAATATTTAATTTATAAATTACAAATTTACAGGAATTTACTTACAAAACCACCCAGAAATTAAGCGAATCTACCTAACCTAAACGTAGCATTACCAAAATACGGGTGTATAGGATAGTCCAAATGTAAAATCTTGATCAAATATTACATGCCCAAAACCTTTCATGATCAATAATTTGGAAAATTACAGGAAATATGTTATTGCCATTATATGGTAATAATGTCATTAAGCCGTAATAGTGAAATCCAAGGATTTTCAGAAACATTGACTTGGGTCGTCAAGCAACTTGTTTCAGGTGCAGAGGCTTCGACGAAAGAACGATACGTTCATAAAATCTGGAGAGGGTATCAAATT